GACTATTGCTAATGTATTCAAAGCCTGAAGGAAAAAAAAAAATTTTGGGTGGGTCAAGCTTGATATTTAAGCGATGCTAACTCTGGGGCCTTGCAGCATCAAAGTAATTGTCGCAAAACGTAACTATTTTATAATTGCCTTTTTCCCCCGAAATGACTTAATCAGTTCATAGGGGTTTCCCTTTACAAGACATTTAAGGTAAATTTAACTTTTTAATCTTCAGTCATTCGTGAATTTTCTATGGGTTTAAACCCCCTAAGAATTCTTCTAATTTTGACCCTTTGGAAAATAGGTAATGACAATTAGGGAAGCTTTGGGAAAGGGACACCTTTTTTGTTTAAAATGTAAAAGGTGTTTGACCTAGTTACAGTAGGTCTTGTGACGATTTTTTCGGCAGAAGCCTGTACTCCCGTCCCCCTTAGTTTTGTTACTAAAAGTATCCAAAACATTTTTTAAATTTTATTCAATGGGGTCTGATTTAAAAAATTCTTTTATAATGTGTAAGTTGAATTAATTATTTTCCCGCGTTTGTTAGTAATCCAAAAATTTTACCTCGGGAAACATCAAAAACTGTGTTTGTATCTTGGTTAATCCTAACAACTGAAAAAAAGATTTTTTAATTGTTAAACTTGTCTTAAGACGAAATGAGTTTTAAAAAGCCATTTTAAAGGTATTGAAAATTCTGCACCACACTTAAGGGGTTTTAAAAAAAAACCCGTACTGTATAAACTGGTTTTTTTTTATTTAAGCAGCAATATCGATCAACACTACTGACCCACTAAACAAACCCCAGGGTCATTTCCATGAAGGGTCAGAGTACAGTGGTGGGGTTTTGGCTTGAGTTTGTGTGTCCCCTGACAACGATGATTAATCGTAAATAAAGGGTTTTAACTTCATTACTATAACTAAAATGTTCCCGATAACTTAAAAAAACCCTGATATTACTTAACATTATAAAATGCACTGTTAATATTTTTAAGCTTACCTTTTATATTTAAGTTCCCTTTTAAAATAACGGGAATCTATAAAAAAACAAAAATTAAAACAATTTTGTCTCTTAATTTTGCTATAAACATTTAAAAAAAAAATGTTATTACAAAAAACAAACCCCAACATCATTTGGGGTTTTTGTCTTTGTCAGCATTTTCGAGATTGGAGCAGTGGTGTCAGGTGCCACCCCCTTTTCTTTTGGGTGGTCACTCAGCTCCCGTTTTCTTTTGGGGAACGCCCGTTTGGGTGACGCCCTTTTCTTTTGGGTGCCTTCTTGTGATTTAGTTGGAGGGGCTCTTTTTAAAAAATTTTATTGTAAAACACTGGGGTTTTAAACTTTTTCGAAGGACCTTGGGTCGTAGTTATTTTACACTGTAGACAACATATTTGGGCCCTTTTTCCGGTTCGACACGACCCAAAATTTTTAAAAAAGGGATTACCACTAAGTTTTTAAACAGTGAAAAAATTAACTTAAAAAAAAACTATCCCTGACACTGCCCCCCAACGAGGGTTTGAGCTTCGAAAAACCCTCTCAAACGGGCTTCAGAATTTTATTTGTAAGATTAAAACTTACCCCCAGGGGTGTTATGTAGATATTTTTCATGATGGCTGACAAATACATTTTTGTTTGGACTCAAAAGTCCACACCTTACTGCCGACATAGGTTGATTACAAAAATCCCTTTTTCGACTCAAGAATGCGCGCCCCCCCCTACAGAAATTCAACATACCCTTTCTCTTGTAACTGGGCTATGGGGTTCTCACACCCCCGACGGGGATCGGGGATTGAAGAAGCTGAAGTGTCCTTGGGTTCCCCCTCTTCCATATTAGGAAAAACCCCACTGGTAACCCTTTTCCCAAAATTTGTCTTTTTGTTACAAATTATCACTAAAGAAACTGATCACACTTTCTTAATGTTTTTGGTTTTATGAGATACTTTGTTACACAACGCACAGATTTCTTTTTTGGGTTTTCCTGCATCATGTCACTTCAGTAATCAAAAGTAACTGAAGATCCCAGCCCCATGGGCGTCATCCCCGCCAAGAAAAGCGACCTAGTACTTTTGCTTCCTTGCCCTTCCTCGAAAGTAAAGCAGAATTTTGATTCTTGCTGTCTTAAGCAAGACAACAAAGTCCCCTGTCTTTACTATGTAAAAAGGGGAGCAGGGTTTTCCTTTTTTGTCCCGCTAAAATAAAAGTGTACGTTCTTATTTAAAAAAAAACTCTGCAAGGAGCAGGGTCACTTACCCTGCCTATCGTACGGCATTGTGCAATTTTCCTGTAGCAGTAAACAAGACCCTTTCCCCCTTTTGAAGGGGGTGGGGGCCCCTCGGGGTGAAGGGGGTGATACCCCCCCCCCCGGAGAAAATTTCTCCACAATTGACTTACTGGTGATTTCACTGAGTGACTTGACTTACTGACTTAACTGACTTACTGAGTGACTTCAGTGAGTGACTTCATTGACTTACTGAATGACTTGACTGACTTACCGAGTGACTTGACTTACTGAATGACTTGACTGACTTGCTGAGTGACTTGACTTTCTGAATGACTTGACTGACTTACTGAGTGACTTGACTGAGTGACATGACTGACTTACGAGTGACTTGACTTACTAAAGATTTGGCTGACTTACTGAGGAACTTGACTGACTTACTGAGTGACTTCAGTGACTTGGGATTTTTTTTGGGACTTACTGAATGACTTGCTGATTGCCCTTGACGTTACTGAGTGACTTGACGGGATTGCGGGAGTGACTTGACTGACTTACTGAGTAAATTTGGAACTAAATTTTAACTTAAATGACTTGACTGATTTACGAGTGCTTGGACGGGATTTACTGAGTGACTTCAGGGGACTGAAGTGACTTGATGACTTTAATGAATGACTTAAATTGACTTTACTGAGTGCTTGGACAAAACTTACTGGTGACTTGACTGATTTCTGAGTGGACTTCACTGGTAAACCTGACGGATTTACTGAGTGCTTAAATGCTTACTGTGTCTTGACGGGCCTTAGTGACTTGAGTGACTTATGAATGACTTAAATGATTAGGAGGGGACTTGTTTTGACTTACTCAGTGACTTGACGGGACTTTTTTGGGGGTTCTTTTTAACCCTGGGGGCCCGGGCGGATTACTGAGTGACTTGAGGGAATACTGAGTGATTTTTAAAGTTAGACACTCCGTAAAACCCCATCGATTCATTTACCAAAAACTTACCATCCCCTCAGCCAGTAGGGCCAAGCAAAAACTCCCCCCCCCCACAATACCCACAAACCCCAGCACCCCAAAATTTTAAAGGTTTAAGTTTTTACTATTATTTCTGTTCCCTTTTTATTTTTTAACCCGTAAAAACAACTTTAATACACCCAAACAATGAACAAAAAAACTACATATTCACTTTTTTTTTTGTAGGACGGGGAGGCAAAAAAAGTTTTTTGATTTTTGTGGGCTTCGGGAAACTTTTTTCCCTTTTTTTTTCCTTTAAGTTTTCGTTCTTCTTACAGGATTTTACCAAACACGCTTTTTCGGAAAACAAAAACTCCCCTCCCAAATGAAGGTCTAGGATGTAAAACCTTTAATTTAGTTTTAAAAGGTTTGGGGAATTTTTCATTGCATTTATGGATTTAGAAAAGGTATATAACAGAGTGGATAGGGGAGCCATGTGGCAGATGTTGCGAGTATATGTAATAGGTAGTAAGTTACTAAATGCTTGAAAGAGTTTTTATGAGGATAGTGAGGATCAGGTTAGGGTGTGTAGAAGAGAGGGAGACTACTTCCCGGTAAAAGTAGGTTTTACACAGGGATGTGTAATGTCACCATAGTTGTTTAATACATTTATAGATGGGGTTGTAAAAGAAGTAAATGTTAGGGTGTTCAGGAGAGGGGTGGGATTAAATTATAGGGAATCAAATACAAAATGGGAATTGACACAGTTACTTTTTGCTAATGATACTGTGCTTATGGGGGATTCTAAAGAAAAATTGCACAGGTTAGTGGACGAGTTTGGGAGTGTGTGTAAAGGTAGGAAGTTGAAAGTGAACATAGAAAAGAGTAAGGTGATGAGGGTATCAAATGATTTAGATAAAGAAAATTTGGATATCAAATTGGAGAGGAGGAGTATGGAAGAAGTGAATCTTTTCAGATATTTGGGAGTTGACGTGTCAGCGGATGGATTTATGAAGGATGAGGTTAATCATAGAATTGACAAAGGAAAAAATGTGAATGGTGTGTTGAGGTATATGCAGAGACAAAAAATGTTATCTATAGAGGCAAAGAAGGGAATGTATGAAAGTATAGTGGTAACAACACTCTTATATGGATGTGAAGCTTGGGTTGTAAATGCTGCAGAGAGGAGACATTTGGAGGCAGTGGAGTTCTCCTGTCTAAGAGCAATGTGTGGTGTAAACATTATGCAGAAAATTCGGAGTGTGGTAATTAGGAGAAGGTGGGGAGTTAATAAAAGTATTAGTTAGAGGGCTGAAGAGGGGTTGTTAAAGTGGTTTGGTCATTTAGAGAGAATGGATCAAAGTAGAATGACATGGAGAGTGTATAAATCTGTAGGGGAAGGAAGGCGGGGTAGGGGGTGTCCTCGCAAAGGTTGGAGGGAGGGGGTAAAGGAGGTTTTGTGGGCGAAGGGCTTGGACTTTCAGCAAGCATGCATGAGCGTGTTAGATAGGAGTGAATGGAGATGAATGGTATTTGGAACCTGATGAGCTGTTGGAAAAGTGGAAAGTGGTTAGCCAGACTTGAATCCTGGAGGTGGGAGTACAGTTCCTGGACTCTGAAGGAAAGATGGAGATGCTGCAGTTTAGAAAGTTATCTCAGCTCTGACTTCAGAATGCTGTAGGCAAGACAGTGATTGAATGAATGATGGTGAAAGTGTCTTCTTTTTCACCTCACCCTACCTTGATGAGAGAGGATCAATGTGTTAAAAAGTGTTCTGACTTGATTCTCAATGGTAACTTTTTAATGCAAATACTATATAAAGAACAAATACTATTTACTCACCTGCGAAGTAAACCCTTGTAGAATGGTCTGGTGAAAAAAGCATCAAGCAGATACTGATGAACAAGTGCCAAGCCCAGCACCCTCCCACAAAATCTGAACCAGTCATGGTAATTGTCCACAAAGGCAGACATTGGAGAAATTTGCACAGTGTAGGTATCATTTGCTGAGTATTCAAATAGGCCATAGTAAGGATTAAAGAGTCTCTTGACAGAAGAAAGAAAAATTCCCGGGATGGACCACCATAATCAAGTCCTTCTTCTCCATAGAATGTGATGTATAATTTAGATTTTTGGAGATCCTTCTTACTGGCACCCATGACTTTATTAAAAGCATCTTCTAGTAAGTGATCACGACGTATGTTGAGCCTGTAAACAAAAATATGAGGACATTATTTTAAGTTATACCCAGCACAATATTTACAGTCTTGAATACAGTAAACTTGAATATAAATATATGAATAGCTGCAGCATCCAACAAGCTTGTGTGAGCATGTTAGATGAGAGTGGAAATAAGTAGCTTTCAATGCTTGATGTACTGATGGAGTGAGCAAGGTAACATTTAGCAAGGAATTCAGGAAAGCTGGTTTGCTGGACTTGAGTCCTGGAGGAGGGAAAGGGAGTGCCTGCCCTCTGAAGGAAGAGTGGGGATGTTGCAGTTTGGATGGTCATCTAGATTGTAATGTTAGCACACTTTTGGCAAGACATCAATTAAACAAATGAGTCACCCTACCTTGGTGGAAGATGGATGAAGCAAAAAAAAAAGTGTCATTTCAGAAATTTTAAAAGGAGTATAGTCTCAAAGAATCTCAAAACACTAGTCAATTAATAATTTCAATTAAATATCTATGGTCTAATTTTAATGGTGGGAATAACAAGCTTAAAAATTAAAGAAAAATACATAAATGGGGCACCCAAAATACTCATAAAAACTGATTGTCAAGTACAGTGGGCCCTCGAATTTCATCATCCCTTTTCTATATGTAATACTACTATGGTTATTCCCTATAAAATGTATTTTTTGTTAATATTTCCCATAAGAAATAATGTAAATCCAATTATTCCATTCCAGACACCAAAAATATTAACAAAAAGTACATTTTATAGATTATAACTATAGTTTTCTTCTTCTTTGTTTTAGTATTTTTTTTTTAACAAGTCAGCCGTCTCCCACTGAGGCAGGGTGACCCAAAAAGAAAGAAAATCCCCCAAAACAAAATACATTCATCATCATTCAACACTTTCACCTCACTCACACATTATCACTGTTTTTGCAGAGGTGCTCAGAATATAACAGTTCGGAAGTATATACAGTACGTATAAAGATACACAACATATCCCTCCAAACTGCCAATATCCCAAACCCCTCCTTTAAAGTGCAAGCATTGTACTTCCCATTTCCAGGACTCAAGTCCAGCTATATAAAAATAACCAGTTTCCCTGAATCCCTTCACTAAATATTGCCCTGCTCACACTCCAACAGCTCGTCAGGTCTCAAAAACCATTTGTCTCCATTCACTCCTATCCTTATTTTTTAGTAATCTTTACAGGAAAAGGGGTTTACAGCCACCTTTTCCCGGGCATTTAATTGACTTTTACAACAGCAGGGCTTAGGGAGGAATAAAACAAAAAAAGAACTTTTAAAGATAAAATAAAACCTCAATTTTTTTTTTTTCAAAAAAACCGGGCCGATCCCACCAAGGCGGGTGGCCCTAAAAAAAAAAAACAAAAGTTTCTTTTTTTAAATTTAGAAATTTATCAGGAAAAGGGGGTTACTAGCCCCTTGCTCCCGGATTTTGTCGCCTCTTTACAACACACACTTACGGAGGAAGAATTCTGTTCCACTTCCCCCAGGGAGATAAGGGAAATAAACAAAACAAGAACTAGAAAAAAAAAGCAACAACTCAGATAAGTGTATAAAAAACAAACAGTATGTGTATGTGACCAAAGTGTAGTCTAAAGTAGCAAGATATACCTGTAATCTTGCATATTTATAGACAAAAAAAAGTACCAAAATCCTACCATCATGTACAAAAAATTACAGGCTCTCATTTTACATCACTTGAGGCGTAGTCCCCCGGGGTTTTGCTGTTACCAACCTACTACCTATATTTTTTAAAACATAATGCTTCTAAACTTTTGTTTTTTCGGCACCTCTGCAAAAAGGTTTATGTATGAGTGAGGTGAAAGTGCTGAAGATGATGAAAATTTTTTTTTTGGGGGATTTTCTTTTTTTATGGGTCCCCTGCCTCATGGGAACAACCAACTTTAAAAAAAAAAACTATAGTTTTACATACAGAAAAGGGATGATGAAATTCGAGGGTCCACTGTATATGCTACAGTATGCAGTGTTTATGACCATTAAAGGTTACCTAAAAGATGTCTTATATCAGTTTGAAATTAAATTAACCCTTTCAGGGTCCAAGGCCAAAATCTGAAGTACAGTGGACCCCCGGTTAACGATTTTAATCCGTGCAAGAGGGGTAATTGTTATGCGAAATAATCGCTATGTGAATGAATTTTCCCCATAAGAAATAATGGAAATCAAATTAATCCGTGCAAGACACCCAAAAGTATGAAAAAAAAAATTTTACCACATGAAATATACATTTTCCCACACACAAAGAGAAGGATACATGCACAATAGTAGAGTAGTACATGCACAGTATATATTGTGCATGTACTAGTCTACTAAATGAAGAATAAATGACACTTACCTTTATTGAAGATGCAGCAATGACTGATGAGACACTGTGTCCTGGGAGTGCCTTTTCCTCCTGAGTACTGTAGGTCCTGTTTGGCATTTTCTTCAGAACAGGCCTTATCACACTGTGTATGCCACTACGATTCTTAAATCTCTCAAACCAACCTTTGCTGGCTTTAAATTCACCAATATGAGCACTAGTTCCAGGCATTTTTCCCTGTTCACCTGGGTGTTAGTCGACTTGTGTGGGTTGCATCCTGGGAGACAAGATTAAGGACCCCAATGGAAATAAGTTAGACAGTCTTCGATGACACTGACTTTTTTGGGTTATCCTGGGTGGCAAATCCTCTGGGGTTAATTGTTTCTTGGTATTCTCAATAAGCCACACCAACAACGGTGCTACAGCAGCAGCAGCAGCTGACAGTGCAGCAGCAGCAGCAGCTGTACCACCAATAGTAGCGATGGTTTGATTGGGGTTTATTATACAACCTGGCCAGCTCGGAGACATGCACTCCACTTTCATACTTATCAATGATCTTTTTCTTCATCTCCATTGTAATTCTCACCCTTATTGCTGTAGGGTTGGCACTAGAAGCTTTCTTGGGGCCCATGGTCACTTATTTTCCAGAAAAAGCACCGAAAACACTGTAATAATACGAAATATTCCGATTGTATGCTTGGATGTTACCGCGGAGGCTGGCTGGTAAACAATGCCACCGGCGGAACATGTGAGCGTGGCTCAGGCCGCACATTGGACGCGTCTCGGACGAAAATCGGTAAGCGGGTTTTTAAGCGGTATGTGAGGCAAAATTTTTGCAATTAAAGTAAGCAGTATGCGAAATAATCGCTATGTGATGCCATCGTTATGCGGGGGTCCACTGTAGTGCCCCAGTGTCCAAGAAATTTTGAAAAAAAAAAAAAAAAAAAAAAAAAAAATCTTACAGAATTAAAGATAATATTTTTGTGAAGGTAATAAAACAAAAACAAAATTTTTCTGATCAGTACTTACCGAGATACAGCGGCGGGAAGTTGACCCAAAATGACTCAGTGGCGGCAACATCAGTGACTTCCGCAAAATCCCATTTTTTTATTTTACGTTTTTTATACTTTTTTCTTTTCTTTTCTATTTTTTTCTTTTTCTAATAACATTTGTGGCCTGTGAGACCAGTATAATGTATATTGTATAAGTGTACACTCATTGTATTCAACACAATAACTGCACTAATTTGTTTATCATTATATTGCTTACAAAACTTGTTTACAAGTTTATTGTAAACAAAATGATGAAAATATTAGTGTGGTTATTGTGTTGAATACAATGGTACCATATAGTACAATGGTGCCATAGGGTGCAATGGTACCATATGGTACAATGGCACCATATGATACAATGGTACCATATGGTACAATATGGTACAATGGCACATGATACAATGGTACCATATGATACAATAGTACCATATGGTACAATGGCACCATTTGGTACAATTGTACCATATACAATGGTAACATATGGTGCAATGGTACCTTATGGTACCATAAGGTACCATACAGTACAACGATACCATATGGTTCATTGTACCGTATGGTACTGTTGTATTCAACACAATAAACACACTAATATTTTCATTATTATTTTGTTTACAATAGTTGTTTACAACAAAAATATGCAAAAAATGTTGTATATTAGTAATGTTCTATTATATATTTACAAGTGTACAGGAACTTTACATGTTCCTCGAGGTGGATGACAAAGCACTTTGTCTCGGAAACTGCGGAGTCAGTAGCTAGCTTGCGTCGCCACTCACTCAGTCTTGGCTGGTGTCTCATGCCACCAACACCTATTGACCATATGGTACATGGTATCATATGTTACAGGGTACCATATGGTACATTGTGCTATATGGTATAGGGTACCATGCAGTACAGGATAACATATGGTGCAGGGTACCATATGGTGCAGGGTACCATATGGTACAGGGTACCATACAGTACATGACACCATATGGTACAGATACAGAGATAACTATGGAAATAAGTCACCCAGACTTTTTTGGGTTACCCTAGGATTTTATACGTATGCTGCTATGTATGATAATCTATGTAATTGTATTTCTGTACACCTGAATAAACTTATTCAAGTGCATGTGTCATCATAAGTAAGTTTATTTAGTTATACACAAATAAAGTTACATAGAATATCATACTTAGCAGCGTATGTTTGGAGAACCTAGGATAACCCAAAAAAGTCAGACAGACTTAATTCCATTAGGGTCTCTGTACCCTGTACCATATGGTATAATGTACCATATGGTACAATGTACTATATGGTACAATGTACTATATGGTACATTGTACCATATGGTACTATTGTACCATATGATACCATTGTATGACATGGCACCAGTGTACCATATGGTACCATTGTACCATATGGTACCATTGTACCATATGGCACAATGGTACCATGTGGTTCAAAACCATAGAATTCGTCTTCAGCTCCACTTCCATCAGTCTTAGAACTGTAAGTTGTGAAGAGGAGAGTCAGAATTCACCCAGAGAGTGAGTGGGGAGTGAGAGCTTTCTTGCCGCCAGGCACCATGAACCAAGCCACTTTGCCGGCGTTCCCACAATGCCATGCAGGCGTCCAGATTTTTTCTATAGTGTGCACACTGACCACCCAGACCCATTCTCTCAGATGTAGGCCAACCAGCCTTCCCGCGCTAAATTTGGCGCCGCTAGAATTTTGGCGTAGATCTATGGTTTGGACCCTGAACGTAAAGCCGTAGATCTACGGGACGGACCCTGAAAGGGTTAATATTAAGAAATGTCAACAATTTACTTAGGCACTCAAACTGATTTGAGATTTAAAACATGAGCACACTCTGATTATCTGACTCTCATTAGAGTTCTTTAATAAAGCCTCAACAAGTTGTTTTTAATACTACTGACAGAAAATACACTATAATCATGTGTATGTTACTTCCAAGCTATTTTATAAAAACACACATCTTAATGCTGCCACCAAATTCAGGGAAAACATTTGTAAATCTAAGATGAATTATGAGGAAAAGTGTATTACAGCACTTCCTGTTGGCCTCTGAAGATTCACCCTCAGATTACCTGTAATTCCCAGAATAAACAGTTATGAAAATGTGCTACATATGATATTTACAGCAATATAAACATAACTCATTGCATAAGGGTCTGTTATGCAAATTCTCTATGCATGTTTTGTGAACATGAAGATATAATTTAAGAAATTAATTTATGCAACGAATGTACTTTTAATGATGTACATGGATCAATGATATCTGCCTATTCAATAATGAATCACTTTACATTTAGTTCAAATCAATATTCTCATCTTTTACCATCTTTCCTCCAAAAAACATAAAACACTTAATACTGCTCACTTGAGTTTACTTGGACCTTGCCCATAGCCTTTGCCTTCAAGTTTCCTATAAAAATTCCTGAGCTTTGCTTCAAAATCCCTTCTGTGAGGAGCTGGTGCTCGAGCATTTGCCCTTGCCAATCCTGGTGAGGCCTGAGGAGATGGTTGTGGGGAACCACGAGGAGATATACCAATTGTAGGTGGCACATATGACATGATCTCATGTTCAAACAAACTGCAAACAATAAAACAATTATTTCTAAGTCCAATATTCAAAACCATTTTGCTTAAATATTTTTATATCTAGTAGCCTATTGCATATTCATTGTCTTGATGTACAGTAAACCCCTGATATAATGAACTAATAGGAAGGACTGTCTGAGTGTCCATTAAATCAGAATCTTAAAAGAGGAAAAAAGTAATAGTGTAAACCTAATATAGTGCTGTACACCCAATTTACAGATACACTAATAAACATTAAAAATAAATAAAGGAGCTAAAAGTACAATTTACCTACTGGATTTTACCCATGATTTTAAAGTTCTGTTATATTGAGATCCATTATATTTAGGATTTACTGTAAGCAACATAATGAACAAATAATGTGTAAATTATTTTATTAAATGAAAGCCATACTTTCTGAATGTTTCCTAACATATTCTTTTTATACACTTAATACAATATTAACAAATGATACACTAACAACCCCCACACAGGAAACCTATGACATTTTAGTCTGACTTAGACCATTAACTAGTCACACAGAGAAGAGTGAAGAGAAGGGAGCCAGAATATATACAAGAATGGGGTGGGGAATGGGAGTGATAGAACAGGCGGTGGCGGTGGCGGCTGTGGCAGCAGCAGCAGCAGCAGCAGCAGCAAGTAAACAAAGGAGAGCTAGTGGACCACAGGGGTAGGACAAAACCCTGCTGACTAAACCCTCTCCAGGACAGAACCCACCTAGGCAAAGACAGGAAAGGTGAAGAGGTAGGGAGAGAAGCAGATAAAGATCAGGTCAAGTCATGAGTTTTCTGAGGTTTGAAGCATTCGATAGTATAATGAGAAAGGAAGGCATCTACAAAGACAAAGCTAGGAATAAGATTCATATTATGAATGTTGTGTATAATCCTGACAAATGCTCCAGACTTCAGAACACTTGTGACTTGACCCAATCTTTCTCTGCTCCTCTCCCTACCTCTTCACCTTTCCTATGTTTTCATTACCTTTCTTGTCTTCTACCTAGTTGGGTTCTGTCCTATGAGGGGTTAATCCTACAGGAAATTTGTCCTATCCCTGTGATCCACTAGCTCTCCTGCAGTGCTCCTCTTTTCTCTTGTTCCTTAGACTACCTCCATTATTACTACCAACTACTACTATTTCTTTGTTCACATTCCACCCTCTGTCCCTTTTTTTACAACCACTACTGCTATCTTACTGCCACCTCTATCACTGTTGCACTCTATAACTACTACTACAATATTACTAACCCTTCCTCCCGTTCTACCACTCCTGTCCCCTACTCCCATTGTATATATTCTGGCCCTTTTCCCTTTGCACTTCTCTGTGTGTGTGACTAGTTAATGGTCCCAGTTGGATTGAAACACTGTCAAGTTTCAGTCTCCTATGTGTAAGTTTCATGGTATTGTGCCTTTTTGTTCTTTATTCAAAAATGATACTGTCATTTCCTTACCTAAGTACAATAGTGAGGTCAACATCGTGACTGAGTCTGTCCAGCGCTACAGTGCCATCAACTCGAATAGCTGTGACTTTGTCCCTGAGAGCTGGTGAGGTGCGAAGGCCACTATGCCTCTCACATAGAATATCCATAATGTTTGGTTGACGAAGCCAAGCAACCACCTGTATGTACATAAAACTAAATTTTTTTAAGCCAATAACTAATGCAACAAATCAATTAAATTTTTTCAATCAGCACAGAGAGCTTTAGTGATTTTTTCAGTATTAGCTTAAGTGCACTTCAGAATTTAATACTGTACATGCATAAAAATGAGGTGCATTGTGCAAAAGCACAACAGAATTAGGCAAACTGAGTGTTCAGTCTTAAGTTTACTCTCAGAGCCACTGATGAAAAATTATCAAAACATGAAAAAAAGCAGTACAAGAGTGCCCCACAGATTATGATCAACAATACTGTAAAACCAATAAACAAAAAGAATTAATTTAGGAGCCAAGACTTTCTGAATGTAAAACTAATTTGTATTTATCTTGGAAATATATATATACAGTGGACCCTCGACTAACGCTATTAATCCGTTCCTGAGAGCTCATCGTTAGTCAAAATAATCGTTAGTCAAGTTAATTTTCCCCATAAGAAATAATGGAAATCAAATTAATCCGTGCAAGACACCCAAAAGTATTGAAAAAAAAAAATTTTAACACATGAAATATTAATTTTAATACACACAAACTGAAGAAGACATGCACAGTTACATGACATTTACCTTTATTGAAGATCTGGTAATGATTGATAGGATGGGAAGAGGGGAGTGTGTTGATGGTCTTAGTCTTTAGAAGGGGAATCCCCTTCCATTAAGACTTGAGGTGATAAGTCCTTTTTCGGGGTTACTTCCCTTCTTTTAATGCCACTAGGACCAGCTTGAGAGTCACTGGACCTCTGTCGCACAACATATCTGCCCATAGAGGCCTGTACCTCCCGTTCCTTTATGACATTCCTAACGTGTTTCACAACATTATCAGTGTCACCATTAAACACTTGTTCAGGTTTCAGTCCTTCACTGTCTATGTACTCCTTGAATTCCTGCACATATTTTTCAGCTGCTGTTTGGTCCAAACTGGCAGCCTCACCATGCCTTATCACACTATGTATGCCACTACGATTCTTGAATCTCTCAAACCAACTTTGCTGGCCTTAAATTCACTCCCCATCACCACTTGTTGCTGGCATTTTTCTAATTAAATCGTCATGCAACTTCCTAGCCTTTTCACATATGATCGCTTGAGAGATGCTATCTCCTGCTATCTGTTTTTTCGTTTATCCATACCAATAACAGTCTCTCAACATCTTCTATCACTTGCGATCTCAGTTTCGAAACATAGTTGCACCTTTGGCAAGAACAGCTTCCGTGATTGCCGTTTTCTTGGGCCCCAATAGTAGCGATGGTTGATTGGGGTTTGGTGTACAGCCTGCCAGATCGGAGACATGCACTCCACTTTCATACTTAGCAATGATCTCTTTCTTCATATCCATAGTAATTCTCACCCTTTCTGCTGTAGGGTTGGCACTAGAAGCTTTCTTGGGGGCCATGGTGACTTATTTTGCAGGTGCAATCACTAAAAAGGCTGTGATAATATGAAATGTTCCGATTGTATGCTTGGAAGCGACCGCAGTGGCTGGCTGGCTTGTAAACACTGGCCAGAAGTGGACGCGTCTCAGACGGAAGGAATAGTGTTGGTCGAGTTTTTTAGCGCTAATCGAGGCAAAATTTTTGCGATAAAATGTATCGCTAGTCAGATTTATCGTTAATCGATGCCATCGCTGGTCGAGGGTCCACTGTATATATATATTTTCAACAAACCAGCCATATCGCACCAAGGCAAGGTGGCCCAAAAAGAAAAACGAAAGTTTCTCTTCCTAAATTTAGTAATTTATACAAGAGAAGGGGTTACTAGCCCCTTGCCCCCAGCATTTTAGTCACCTCTTACAACACGCATGGCTTACGGAGGAAGAATTCTGTTCCACTTCCCCATGGAGATAAGAGGAAATAAGCAAGAACAAGAACTATAAAGAAACTAGCAGAAAACTCAGAGGGGTGTGCATATATATGCTTGTATATGTATGTGTAGTGTGACCTAAGTGTAAGTAGAAGTAGCAAGACGTACCTGAAATCTTGCATGTTTATGAGACAGAAAAAAGGACACCAGCAATCCTACCATCATGTAAAACAATTACAGGTTTTCGTTTTACACTCACTTGGCAGGTCAGTAGTACCTGGGCAGTTGCTGTTTACCAACCTACTATCTAAAATAAATAAATAAATAATATATATATATATACACCTACCATCCGACTTACGACCAAGTTCGGATCCGAGAAACCGGTCGTAAGTCGAAATGGTCGTAAGTCGAACTTTACTACTGAATATCAACAAAACATTTTCGTAATGACTTTATTTTATTGCTTTATTTTGGTATTTCATGTTTTACTTTACTTTTTATGTTGTTAGTACTGTATTTTATACTGTAAGGTTTAGGATAAACACTGTGTACAACACAAATAGGTGTTTATTTCCCAGAAATTTGGCATAAAAAACACGGCTGTAAGTCGAGTGGTCGTAAGTCGAGAAGGTCGGAAGTCGGATTGGTAGGTATAGGTATGTATGTATGTATGTATGTATGTATATATATATATATATATATATATATATATATATATATGTATATATATATATATATATATACATATATATATATATATATATATATATATATATATATATATATGTATATATATATATATATATATATATACATATATATATAATATAAATATATATATATATAAAATATATATATATATATATATATATATATATATATATATATACAATATATATATAATATATATATAATATATATATATATATATAATATATAATATATATATATATATAATATATATATTTTATATAATATATACAGTGGACCCCCGCTTAACGATCACCTCCCAATGCGACCAATTATGTAAGTGTATTTATGTAAGTGCGTTTGTACGTGTATGTTTGGGGGTCTGAAATGGACTAATCTACTTCACAATATTCCTTAAGAGAACAAATTCGGTCAGTACTGGCACCTGAACATACTTCTGGAATGAAAAAATATCGTTAAACGGCCAATTAGCAAGAACTCATTTAAAATTAAGTCCTTTCCAAAATTTTCTCTTATACGTTAAAAGCTTTTTTTTTTAATTAATGTTAATTTAATTTTTTTAAATCTGCACCAAAAGAAACTTAGAAAACTTACCTAACCTTGTTATAACAAGAGCAATTTATTTTAGCCTAACCCAACTAAATATATTTTAGATTTGTTTACAGTAATTTAATACTAAACAAACACAATGAAATATATTTTTTTCATTAGGTTCAGAATGATTTTGGCAAAATTATTGCATACACAAATTTTCGCTTGTCCTATATGGCAAGATGAGCGTTGCTATTTAAGCCAAGATCGCAAGTTCTGACTATTCGGCACAACATACATACATACATACATTACATACATACATACACACACACACACGGCACACACGCGCAACACACCACACACCCCACACACACAAAACACACAACACACACACACATATATATCTTTCTTCTTTCAACACACCCGGGCCCTATCCCACCCAGGTGGGGTGGCCCAAAAGGAAAAACGAAAGTTTCTCCTTTCAAATTTAGTAATTTATACTGGAGACGGGGTTACCAGACCTTGCTCTCGGCATTTTCAGTCGCCTCTTACGACACGCATGGGACTTACGGAGAAGTGTTTCTGTTCCACTTCCCCATGCAGATAAGAGAATAAGCAAGAACAAGTAATATAAAGTAAATAGCAGAAAACCAAGAGGGGGTGTAGCAATAGATTTGCTTGTATATGTAATGGGTAGTGTGACCTAGTGGTAAGTTGAAGTAGGCAAGACGTTACCTGAAATCTTGCATGGTTTATGAGCCAGAAAAAATTGAGACACCAGCAATCTACCATTGTAATAACAATTTACAGGTTTTCATTTTACACTCACTTGGCAGGTCAGTTGTACTGGGCTGTTGATGTTTACCAACCTACTATCTAAATAAATAAAATAAAATATATAGTTATATATATATATACACCTACCATCGAGTACGAACAAAGTTCGGATCCGAGAACGGTCGTAAGTCAAACATGGTCGTTAAGTCGAACTTTACTACTGAATATCAACAATACATTTTTGTAATGACTTTTTTTTATTGTTTTGTTTTGATATTTCATGTTTTACTTTACTTTTATGTTGTTAGTACTGTATTTTATTATGTAAGGTTTAGGATAAACCAATGTGTACAACACAATAGTTGTTTATTTCCCAGAAATTTGGCATAAAAAAAACGACGGCCGTTGTCGAGTGTAGTGGTAGTAAGTCGAGCAGGTTCGGAAGTCAGATGGTAGGTATGGTATATGGTATGTATGTATGTATGTACATGTATGTTGTATGTATGTAATGTATGTATGTATATTTTTTTTTTATTATTCACAATGGTGATTCCACCAAGGCTGGGTGGCCAAAAAAAAAGAAAAAACCTTTCACCATCATTCACTCCATCACTGTCTTGCCAGAAGGTGTGCTTTACAATACAGTTTTTAAACTGCAAACTTTAACACACCTCCTCAGGGAGTCTGGCACTGTACTTTCCCATCTCCTGGATCTTGTCGGCCTGCCGGTTTCCTGAACCCCCTCATAAATGTTACTTTGCTCACACTCCAACAGCACGTTTCAAGTATTTATAAACCATTTGTACTCCATTCACTCTATCCAAACACACTCACGCATTGCTGCTGGAAGTCCTTAGCCCCTCGCACTCAAAAACCTCCTTTACCCCCTCCTCTAACTTTCTAGGCGACCCCTACCCGCCTTCTTCCACTACAGGGATGATTCACTCTTGAAGTTATTTCTGTTGCTCCACTGTCTCTCCCACATGTCCGAACCACACTCAAACAAACCCTTCCTTCAGCCCTCGGACTAAACAGTTTTTGGTAATCCCGCACCTCCTACTAAACTTCCAAACTACGAATTCTCTGCATTATATTCTCACCACACATTGATCTCAGACATGGACATCCTCCACTGCCTCCTG